AGAGGAGAGCCCAGCCTCCTGTGACAGCGCTGGCTGTCTCCGCCCCCACACCGCTCTGCTGCACTGTGATAGGCGGCCGAGCGGTGTGGGAGGAAAGACACCGGCCGCTCACAGCGCTCGTCCCGCAGCGCTCGGCCGGCTGTCATTTTCTCTCTGATTCCTTTCATCCCTGCTGGGCACTGCTCTGTGTCCCAGCGGGGATGAAAGGAATCACGGCCGCGCCGACAAAACGGCAGTAAATGTCACTTTCGGCTTTTAGCCGAAAGTGCCATTTTCGGCCGGCGCCCCCCCTTCCCTTTTCGCCCGGGGCCCGCACCCCTGCTGCCCCCCCCCCCGGTTGTTACGCCACTGCTGAGTACACTGCAAACTGAAAATCTGAGGCCGGAGTGTTGATGGTAAGGAGCCGCTGATTGGAATGAATAATTCACATGACAAAACTGCAGAGGGAACAAGGAAGCAATGTGAAGAATTAATGGGGTCACGCATTTGCAGTAAGGGGATCCAGATGCATGTTTTCATTGCAAAAGTTGTGCAGTGTGGGTAAAGTAGTATTGCACTCAAACTTTTTTCAATAATTAATCAAACAAATATACATTGCCAGCAAAGCATTGCTTAACTTTTTTTTTTTGTCCATGTTTGTTATGTGTTTAGATGAAGCACTGAGATCTTGAGGAATGCTGAATTAAGTTTAACTTGCTTAGAAGAATGTTGCACACATGTATATAGAAATACATCATCAAACAGGAAACATATAGATCATAGATAAACAGGCATAAGAATAAAGAATGAAATTGCACTACAGCGCCATCTAGTGCTTAAAATACATAGTTACAGTACATTAGCAGAAGCTGTTGTATTTCCAACAGCCCAAACACTTTCAATCGTCATGTTTTTGAACAGCTGCTTCCAAGTCTCTTAGCTCAGCTTTCCTGAATTTCCTGTCCAGTACAAGATCACAAAGGACAGAGCAGACTCCAGCAATTGTTTATCTACTAGCTTGAAGGAGGGGGGCAAGGGGGAGGGAAGCAGCTGGATTTGTTGTGCCTTTTGTTGTTTGTGGAGACACACACAGCTTACTAGCACGCATAAGGGAGACTGCATAGCACTCTGCTTGAAAAAGTAATCACTCTAAAACAGGAAGTCAGGACAAGTGCTCAGTAAACTCCCCCTTATCTGGCATCCATGGGGATTGTTAGATTCCAGTTAAATGTGGTTTCTGGTTGCTTGAGAGTTACAATTAAAAATAGGTCTAACTAATGCTATACCCCATACTATACCATACCATAAACTCTGTATTGACTTATATTAATATTGAAATGCAGTAATTAAAAGCAAATTAAGACAAATAGACACACTTAAAGGGTTATTCACTATGGAGCCGAAGGATCCAGCCGTAGCTTCGGCTGATCCTTCGGCACCCTTCGGCCGCCTGAGCCATTCGGTTCAGTCTAACCGAAGGCCGAGAGGCTGGCTGTTCTCCACGCAAATCACAGCTGGGTGGAGCCAGCCGTGATCACATGGCTGGCTCTGCCCAGTTGTAATGACAGATCAGCGTCCCGAAATGCCCTGGGGACCCTGATCTGTCATTAAACAATAACTGGGCGGAGCCGGCCGTGGCGTCACAGTTGTTAGCTATTGGTCAGGACCTGCTAGTAGACTGGCAGGTGCCCGGCCAAAAGGAAACAGTTGGGCACAGCTAGCTGTCACTGCTAGCTCTGCCCAATTGTTTTTATTTTGCCGCCATCTGTCAGCCGCTTCATTATGCAGCAGGAGTTTGACGTGTGCGGTCGGGTCGGTGTACGTCATTTTCAAAAAATTATTATTATTTATTTTGTTGAGTCGTCATCGTCGTGGACAACACAGGATGTCGTAATTGATGCTGGATTATGATCAGTTTTTGGCTTTTTTGTTTTTATATTAATAAAATACTTTTTTTTTTTTTCCAATTTAAAAGGAATATTTTCTAAAAGTCTGGCATCTTATTTAAACATTTAATGTAATCCTTTAGTGAATGGGTAGGGGTATGGAATGGAATATTAGAAAGACCCCCATTTCCTTTTTTCCCTATTTTTGGGGGTGGGGTTCCTCCTTAAAATTCCTACCAGACCTTAAGGGCCTGGTATGACTTTATGGGAGAACCCCACACACTTTCATCTTTAACTTAAGGGTCTGGTACGACCTTTGGGGGGACCCTTGTGTATGGAGCATGAATGGTATCAGCAGACTGTGTGAGGAATCACCATTGCTAGTGATTGGACGGCATGATTTTTATCCCATATTCTATTTATCTCTGCCAGGCCCGGCGCTACTGCAAGGCAAGGCAAGCGGCTGCCTGAGGGCGCTGCAGGGTGAGGGCGGAAAAAACAGGGCATTTTGACAAGTACTTGTACTTGCCAAAATGCCCCGATGCTTGCGCTGTTTTTTGTTTTTTTTTCTTCACTTACCTTCGGTGCGGGAAATAGCGGATGGTTATGTCAGATGAAAGAAATTTGTATGAGACTCATCTATAATAATACATATTAGACCCAATTTAATGTTTATATTTGTAAAGTTCTTAGAAAATGTCCATTTCATGATAACTGATAACAGAGTGTGATAAGATTTTAAGATTAGAGAACCGCCTGGGATTGGCTACTTAGGGAGTCCAATAATGAGATCCATTGTGTTTACATTATCAGATTATTTTCATGATTGTAATATTAACCCCTTAATGATGGAGAAAACAAATCTTAACCCCTGAACCCAGTTTTTCAGCTTTTTGATGTAAAACTGTTCATATCTTTGCAGCTACTTAGTGTATCCGGGTGAATTATACTTTGTTATAGCTGTAAGAATTAAGTCAAGGCAACTGGACTTGCTGTATTTTTCTTGAAGACGTTTCACTGATCATCCAACCAGCTTTCTCAAGTCAGAATGACTTCTACAAAAATTCTCGGAATAAATATGGTTAATGTTGCTCCAAACCACATAGTCTGTTAGTTGATTGCATTTGCATAATTGGAGCTAGGAGGTGTTTTATTTATATATTTATTACCAAAGCATTTTTTGTACAAGTCATTCTGAATTGAGGAAGCTAGTTGGATGACCAGTGAAACATCTTCAAGAAAAATACAGCAAGTCCAGTTCCCTTGACTTCATTTTTACAGATATACCATGACCTGAATTAATGAGAACCTTCACGGACATACTTTGTTATGATCAGGACATTTCATTCATTTAGTAGTAAATGGTAATTAAAATCTCCTCTATCATCTATCTGACTTTTTTGGTTTTAAAGGAAAACTGGCTCTAAATAGTAAAATAAATACACTTACTTGTATATTGTAATTACCATGACCCACCAACCAAAGAACAACCCCAAAATACAGTACATTTCCTCTCCTGACATTCACAGCGGTACCACCTATGTGAGCGATATTTGTTGCTTGTACTCTTAGTAGAGCCCAGAAACAATAGTGACCATTTTTATTTTTTATCCTCCCTAAAACACACTGACACTAAGGCTGGGTACACACAAGACATATTTTTCATTCAACCTCACAGGTTGAATGAAAAGAATATGACAAATTCCTCCATCCACACTAACATTGTGGATGAACAAATCTTCTGCTGTGTACATTGTATTCTGACAGTGGTTACAGCTGATTGGTCCTCCCAGCTCCCTATCATTATTACAATCCCTGGAGCTATCAGTGTCAGCTAGGTCTCTGTGTTGGGGATGTGCTATTCAGCACACCTCCAGCACAAACACATGTACACATACAGTATATGCAGGCACACAAAAGACATCTAACTTCCATGAAGCCACATATACAGTACGTGTACGCACTGCGGGAAGGAGTTAAACTGTCCCAGAATATTTTTGTCTCAGTCAGTCCTGTTATACTCACTCTAATTCCTCTATCCGGCTTGTTGTCAGAGCTTCCATCAGATCCCTGAAATGAGGACCCTCCAGGTTGTTATCAGTCAGGTTCAGTGTCCTCAGTGTCTGGTTATTTCTTATTCCAGATGCCAGGTCGGGGCAGGAAATGTCTGTCAGATGATTTTCAGACAATCTGTAGAAGAAGAGAACAATGTTACCAGAAGACAATGAATTTCTCCCCCAGGATTGAATGTAAATATTATATATCAGACTCCATTTAATGTTTACAATTTTAAAAAACATTTAGAAAAAAAAAATATTTTCATATCTGATAACAAAGTGTGATAAGGTTCTAAGATTAGAGAACAGTCTGTGATTGGCTACTTAGGGAGTCCAATAATGAGATCCATTGTGTTTCCATTATCAGATTATTTTCATGATTGGAATGTTACCCCCTTAATGATGAAGAGAAAACAAATCTTAATCCCTGAACCCAGTTTTCCAGCTTTGTGATGTGTTAGTAAGACTGTTCATATCTTTACAGCTACTTAGTGTATCCGGGTGAATTATACTTTGTTCTGTTCAGGGCATTTCATTCATTCAGTGTGCGTAACGAGAGTTATGGGCGCCCGGGGCAGAACATTTTTTTTCGCCCCCCCCATATTATATAAACATCCACTGGAACTGTACCCCCCACCCCCCACACATATATATCAGCTAAGGAACTACAAGTCCAAGCATGCCATCATTGTCCCTGTACACCCCCCCACACTCACACATATCACCAAGGGAACGGCAATATCTGGTTGTTGTACAGGGGCCATGAGGGCATGCTGGGACTTGTAGTTCCCTAGCTGATATCTTATGAAGCTGTATTCCACCTGAAAGTACTACAATGCCATTATAGAACTAAGAATAGAACATCAAATAAAACTTTTTTTTTTCCTAATACTCACCTGATTCCTGGATTCACCAACAAGTGTGGCCTCCCGTCTCCCACGCTGTTAGAAGTTGCATACAGCGTGTGCTGGTAACTACTTAAACTGGCGCGCGCTGTGTGCAGCTTCTGGGAAGATACGCTATTAGCATAGCGGGGGCATTTTGCATCACTCCCGCTACACTAATAGCGTATTTTCTCAGAAGCTGCACACATCCCTCCCTGACCACCTCACCCCCCAGTGACAGTACATCCCTCCCTGCCCCCCCAAGTGAAAGTACATCCCACCTCAGTCCTGCACCCGGGGCAAGTGCATCATTACATGGAAGGAGGGAGAAGCTAGGGGTTAGCACCCTATTTAACTCGGCCCCACTGCTATCATGGCGGACCTTGTTAACTACCTTCTGCTGTTTGCCACTATTCTCTGTGCTGAATTCTCCGCAGGTATACAGCTCCAGTATTGTGAGAACTCTTGCTATATATATTACTGTTGGTTGCTCTGTGTTAAGGTGGCCATACACTTTACAACCATCGCAAGACATTTTTTTTATTATTGTTTTTTATTTTTTTTGTAGTTTGATGGTTTTGTCCTCCTGTGGAAGCCCATTGGGCAAAATATGTCAAGGACCTTTAAACACAATGTTTATGAATGGAATGAGAATATACATCAATAATGTGACAGCTTTGCAAAGAGATACCACTTTGATGGTGAAAATCCTACAAAAATGGCTGTAAGGACCAGCACAAGTAACCATTGGTTTTATTAAATGTTTTATTGTTTTTAAAATGAATATGTAATAATAAAAATGTTAACTAACTAATTTGTCGCTTTCATTGTTTGGTCTGGTATGCTGGATTAAAAGCCCCCAATTTCTATGTAATAGGAAAAGGCTTGCACCTATCGTATTTGTTTTTCTGTACTTTTGAGAGGGGTGCAGCGGACCAGACCTCCCTCCAATGATCACTATGTTTCCATAATACTTGTTTAGCACTTGCAGATCTGATATGAGGCCATCGTAAATTAGTTGCAGCAGATGGGATTTGGCTTCATCTATTCATTGTTCATCATCCAGAGATGAATGACACTCTTGCTGTTATGATTACAAAATCATATAGAACTCATGAAATACATTGATACATCAGACCAGATGCAGAAGGTTGCTGGGCATGTCCGAACATAGACCTTCCTGGGAAAACACTGTGTGAAATCTGCTTCTAGAAGCAACCAGGGATAGAGAGGTGGATAATCTACAAGTAGTGAATTTAACGAAACAAGCGTACCAGGAATTGCTGAAAGAATTTGCCTCACAGTCCAGGTTACCTCCAGGTCAGTCTGCAATTGCTCATCAGTCAAACATCTGATCCCCTAACACCCCGATTATACCAGCTCAGGAGCCTACCCGAGTGGACTCTTCAGAAGAAGATGAATATAAGGGAGGGATTGATTTCATGCATGCTGGTCCAGCCATTTGTAAATGCAGGGAAGCAGGTGTTATACGGTGAGGAAGCTGAAGTAGAACCTCAGAGGAAAAGGAAGTAGTTTAAGCACATGAAGAAAGAAGGATCTAATTTTGCTTTCTTCAAAGAATTGAAAGAAATTATCTCAGATGAGTGGGTACAGGTGAAAAAAAATCTCCATTCCACAATCGGTTTGCAAAGCTCTATCCTTTTAAAAAGGAAGAAGTTAAACGTCTGGATAACTCTCCCTGGGTGGATGTGGCCCTGGCCAGACATGTTACACTGCCCCTTCATGATGCTGTAACTTTTAAAGATGTGATGGATAGTCGCATTGAATTAGATCTTAAAAAGATCTATCTGACAGCAGGGGGAGTGTGCAAACCAGCAACAGCACTTGCCTCAGTGTCCAGAGTGATGGAAGCATGAATTTAAAACTGAGATAATAGCATCATTAAGGGAGATTAAATTATCTTCTGCATTAATAGCTGAAGCGGCAGTCCATATTAACAGATCTCTGGCTAGAGTCATGCTGTTCTAAGTAACAGGCAGAAGGGCGCTAAGGTTTGTTGTGATAAAAATGTAGTGATAACATGGTGGTTATCAATGTATATATACATAGAAAATGTAGAATTCAATCTTCAGGAAATATCCAGGCAACCTCAGTTCTTTTCCAGAGAGTGTAGAGTCTATTGGATCCCAGAAACAGATGAATAGGAACAGTCAAACAGAAAAAAAAAAAACTTTCTAAAAGTGACGGTTGGTCTGGCTGGAAGTAAATGGCCTAATTTGGGGTCCTTTTGCAAGATGCACGATCATTATCGTACGATTGCGGGATTTCACGCGATTCTCGTACGAGAATCGTGCACTGTATGGGCACCTTTTAAAGAGACCATTCCGAAGCAATTATCCCACCCAGAACGCTTTCAGCTGTCCCTACTGGATCTATCCACTCAACACCCTTACTCCCACAGGACTCAATGAAGAATTAGAGATCCAAACATTAATATAATTTCCCACATACTCACCACCACTAAGTGTCCCAAGTCCCCTAACAGCGTCTACATTTTACAATTCACATTTTCAAAATTATATGTATGCGCTCTTGTTTGTATTTTCTGAAGTCTTCCCTGCCTGTCAACAATCCCAGAAGTCTTTTTGATGGGGGCCCACCCAGATTCACCATGTGGAGGCCAGGTTATCCAGATTTTGGGGAGTCCAGGTGATCAACATAGGGGACAGGTGGGTCCTCAATACAATTTTGAAGGGCCATACATGGATATTCCAGTGGACACCTCACTTAAAAGTGATTGCAACAGGGATACGAAGCTTAGAGATAAAGAAAGAGGCACTCTTTTCTTATGTGAGAATGCTAATGAAAAGGAAAACCATAGTCCCTGTAACAAAGTTAGAATGCTTCACTGGAATGTATTCACCACTATTCCTGGTACTGAAGAAAACCCGGGAATATGGATCGGTACTTGACCTAAGATAGCTGAACAGGTTCATCAAGAAGGAAAGATTCAAAATTGAGTCACTGCCAACAATTCTGCAAGTTGTTCGGCCAGGGGATTGGCTGCTTTCAACCATTTAAAAAGACACTTACTTCTATATTCCAGGGCACCAAGACTTTCAGAAGTTTCTTCACTTTTCACTAGGCCAGCTTCACTTTCACTTCAATTGCTTTCCTGTAACATACTCACCTTGTCATGTTCTCTGGCATTCCAGGATCTGCAGGTAGCTCCGCCTACCCTCCCTCGACGTCACGCAGCTCCTCAGTAGCCGGCTTAAAGGGCGAAATTTAAATGCTTGGTGTCCAAGCAATACAGCTGATGGCGGGCACTCAGCGCTGATCCTCCGTCTCCACCGAATGCTACGAGTAGCAGCTGGGACTTGTGATCCCCTTCACCCTGTCACAGTGACACTTCCTGACTTTTCTCCAACCTCTGCTTCAAGACCTGCCTGGGATCTCCTCTACTCCCTGTTACAGTGACCCCAGCTGGTATACTGCATATAATCTATACTGCATCTATACTGCAGATTCAGTGCCTGAAGACAAGCTTGCTACAGACTGCTGGCTAGGATCTGTTTAAAGGGGAACTACCTAACCGCAAGTATTCATTACTTCTGCTATTCAAAGACTTTCTTATCTATTGTCTCTATGAAGTGAAGGAACTTCAAGTTTAATTTGAGTTATAGTAGTCAGAGACTTTGCTTTACGATGAGTTATTAATTGTCTTATATTGAATGCATATTGAAGATATACACTTTAATTTGGATTATTGCCCTATGTGAGCTAAGAGCGGCATAGATATTCTGATGGACTTACGTTGTACCAAATATTTGATTTACTTGATATAGCACTGGACTTTTGCTCATAATTGAGTTATAAGACCGTATGGACTGGTTCTATAGTACTTAAAGGAGAACTATGAGGTGAGTGCTTTTCACTCACCTCATAGTTCTAGCCGACCTGTAACAATGCGACTGTCACAGGGCGGCTCAGTAGATCGGGAAGTGAGCGAACACATACCGGTGTTCGCTTACTTCACGATCCTGTCACAGCTCTCTGCCGTGACATGGGAGGGGCTGGATTCCCCCTCCCCGCTCCGATCCTCCAGCGCTGACTGGCGGAATGGACGGGGGAGGGGCCGGGTACAGCTGGCTCTGCCTCTAGATAGGCAGAGCCAGCTGTCACTCACGCAGCTGGGCGGATCCAGACATAATTGTCAGGATCCGCTTCAGCTGTGGCGTCTCAGTATACCGCGAGCTGTAGCTCGTGTTTTACTGAGCTTAGGGTGACAGGAGGACGCTAATTTGTGTCCTCCTGTTACCCTAAGGAGAAGTATGGGGAAAAGCCCTAACCCCATAGTTCTCCTTTAACCACAGTAAGTTGTGTTTGCAGTTGTGATCCTATTGATTCAATTAACTACATAGCAATTGCAGTACACTTCCCTTCAGCCTCACTACATCACCTCAAAACTTCACGAAGGTGCTTCTAGCACTTGCCCATCTGAGAAAGAAGTTTCGCATATACCACTTTTTAGACAACATTTTGTTGCTGAGTCAAGATCAGGGGACTCTAGTAATACACAGAGATCTTATGTTGTCAACCCTGGAAGACTTTGGTTGGGTGGTCAATGTTGCCAAGAGTCATTTCGTTCCCTCACAGGTTATCATCTACTTTGGAGCAAGAATAGATACCATCAGATTTCCCTGCCTGCAGGAAAGGTACAGAGGATGACTCAAACAGCATCAAGCAAGTGTCTTTCAGTGGCTCTATGTCTTCAGTTAGTAGGAACCATAACCTTGTCCATTCCTATGGTGAAGTAATCCCAATGAAATTCTTGCCCATTTCAGATCGGCTTTCTCAATCAGTGGCTATAGGAAGATCTCGACCATATAATTTAGATCAATTCAGTTATAAAAAACAAAAAGAGCTTGAACTGGACGATTACAGGAGAGAATCTGCAGAACTCTCATCCACTTCTTCTGATATCTTGGACATTGGTGACAACGTATGCAGAACAAGTTAGGGGGCAGTGTTCATGGGCAGATTAGCTCAAGGCCGATAGCATTTTCCAGCAAAAAGAGTCAGTACCAATGTCCTGAAGCTAAAGGCAGCCTTTTAGGCTCTGTTATCATGTGCTAGCATATGTCAAGAGGCAAATGCAGCCACACACACAGGAAGTGACTTCCATCCTTTCATGGTCACAGGTTTAATCTTCTTCACCTGTCAGCTGTCTTTGTTGAGGACAGCACTGGACAACACCAAATTGGATCTGTTGCCTGAAGTGTTCAAAAGGCTTTTGAACGATATTCTTCTCAAGAGCACCCTGCTCACTAGCATGGAGAATGAATGCGCTGACATCGGAGTGGCCATTTTAAAATGGCATGTGCTTTTCCACTGGTACCAATGATATCCGCTGCTATTGGAACTGAACACAGGGAACTCATTCCCACTGCTGAAGCTACCAAATGTTCTGTCACAGGGACCAATACTTCATGGAGCCCCCAAAAAACTGTTTCTCATGGCCTGAAAGAGTGTGGCAGACATTCCTAGAGTTTGCTTCATCTCATAATTTTGCAGCAACAAAGCTCCAAGTCCAAAATGCATTGGAATTTCTCCAAAAAGACATGGATATGAGCCTCAGCCTAAGCACACTAAAGACCGATATCAGCAATTTCAGCTTTCAGTAAGGTTCGATGGTCCATGACTGAGTTTGTGGTGCAATTTTTTTAAGCGCTTATGTTAAATCCACCAAGCAGACCGCTATTTTCAAAATGGGATCTTCCCCTTGTATTGGATTTCTTGGCCTCAAAAGCCTTTGAAAAGGGGTTGTCTCTTTGGCATCTCACATTGAAGGCCTCATTTTTGGTGGCAGTGACCTAAGCAAGAAGAGTTTCTGGCAGCTGCAATGGAACCATTCATGTCTTTCTTCCCTGATCCAGTCGTTCTAATACCTAAGCTGGGCTTCACCCTGAAGGTCACTACGACTTTTCATCTCAGGCAAGAGATTGTACTTCTGGCCTTCCGAGTGGTAGGCAATGATCTACTGGATCGCCTGATGTGGGCAAAGCCTTGCAAGCATATACTAGGACAACAGCGACCTTTAAAAAGTCAGACCATCTGTTCATCATTCCAGCAGGGGCAAAGATGGGACCTAAAGCCTCCAGCAAAATGATTGCATTCTGGATGGTGAAGGTTATCTCTCTGACCTACAAACCCAGGGGGTTGGTCATGCCGTATGAAGTGACTGCTCACTCAACCCACAGTATATCTACTTCATGGGCGGCAGTGAAAGGAGTATCTCCTGAAGTGATTTGCAAAGCAGCTACTTGGTCCTTGATTCCTACCTTTTATTACACACTATTGTGAAGAGCCAGCTGCCTTAAGCACGCTATAATTTGGTTCTAAAGTTGTGTTTGTTAGTTCAAAATGTGATTAAAATGAATATGGAATTCCCTCCCTGTGTTGGGAGTTATTTCCTGGTTGTATGCTGATATGGAGCTGTCAGGAAAGCCGAAAATACACTACGTACTTACCGTGATTTTCCTTTCCTGACATGCTCCATGGAAGCATAGCATCCCAACCGGTCGTAGGTTCTAATTACGGAGCGCCATGGCTGTTGGGGGACGTAAATTTATGAGTTAGTGGTCCTGTGTGGGTTGAGGAGGTGGAGCCTTACTCAGTCTTATGCTGCCATGGAGCATGTCAGGAAGGGAAAAAATATGGTAAGTATGATCAAAAATGTCCAATATGTCAGCGCTATTTGTTGTTTGTACTCATAGTAGGGCCCAGAAACAATTATGAGAATTTCACTTTTTTATCCTGCCTAAAACACACTGACACTGACCCTAACACTAACACTGTCGCCAATTCACACTGAACGCATTATTGAAGCACTGGCCATTTTTTTCAAGCACAGCCAGAACACAAGTGAAGACAATATGCCTTCCAGATGAGCTCAGATCACCCACTAAGGGTATAGGGCCACCCATGGATTGAATTTTGGCCAATTCTTGCTGAATCAGCCAAAATGTGATTGTTGTGTACACAGCCCCACACTGACCTGGATCAGGCCCTGAGTTTACTTTTTTCTGTTTATTTTATGTATCTGTTGTACACGGTCTGTTTTGTGTGTGTGTACATTCTTCTCCTCTAAGATGCAATGAGGAGAATTTATCAAGACTAGAACAGGCAGAATGTGGAGTCATTGCCTATAGTAACCAATCAGCTTCTATCTTTCATTTTCAAAACTTAACTGACCAAATTGAAGATAGAAGCTGATTGGTTACTATAAGTGACTGCTCCAGTTTTATTAACTCACCCAATGTACCTCTTTATCCTCACAGAGCAGACATTAGAGAGGATTCTACAGCTAATAATCACTATGAGAGCCTGTGATTGACTATCATAGAGATCAGGAACCGGTCCTCTGTCCTCCTGATTTAGATCAAATCCTGGAAATGTCGGTGTCAGCTCGGTCTCTGTGTTGGGAACACACTATGGAGCACGCTTCCAGTACAAACACCTGTACACATATATGCAGCCGCACAACAGAAGTCTGTTAGAGAAAGAGCAAAGTCCCTCTGTTTGCTGGATTGGAACCCAATAGCAGGGAACAATACCAGAAGGAGAGTCCAGGCTGAGGTACAAAATAGGATGATCCAAAATGCGTTGTCAGAGTACAGTCCGGGTCGAGGCAGGCAGCGAGTATCAAACGGTGAGACAAGCCAGGGGTCGATAACCAGGAGATCCAAATAGCAGGGAAGGAAGACAGGAAATTAGGCATAGTGGCTGCTTTGGAAATGTCAGAATAACTCAGCAACAAGTCTTGGCTCTGGCTGGAATTTAAACCCAGCAGGGGCCAGCGACGCCCCCGTTGTCTGGGAAACAAGGAAGCCACAATGGTAATAATCAGCACCTGAAGCGACTATGAAGCCACGGCAGCGCCACATGCGCACGTCACGCACACATGTCACTCATGCGCGCACCCGCAACCTGCCACCGCTGGGCACCAAATCACCCCAAGAAGAACCCTAAAATCTCTGCCGTACCCGCTAGACCCCAGGTAGGAGGGCACCCCTGGTCCCACGACAAAGTCCTACTTCCATGAAGCCACATATATGAATACGCTTGGAAGGAAGGGGTTAACCTGTCCCAGAATATTATTGTCTCAGTCAGTCCTGTTATACTCACTGTAATTCCTCTATCCGGCTTGTTGTCAGAGCTTCCATCAGATCCCTGAAGTGAGGACCCTCCAGATTGTTCTTAGACAGGTTCAGTATCCTCAGTGTCTGGTTATTTCTTATTCCAGATGCCAGGTCGGGGCAGGAAATGTCTGTCAGATGATTAACAGACAAACTGTAGAAGAAAAGAAGAATGTTACCAGAAGAAAATGAATTTCTCCCCCAGGAATGAATGTAACTATTCTCTACATGAATGGAACTCATTTCTCTTTATTGGAATCATTTATGTTCCATCACTTTATAAAACTCCAGGAAATATAATTCTATAAGAGAAATATTATAATGGAGGAGACACCCCAATATTGTCCTCCATGTGTAGAGACGATGATATCTCCATACACAGGATGAGCACAGAATACCACTGACATGACTCGTATTGTCCTATAATCTCCTTGTGTACGGAGCATGAATGGTATCAGCAGACAGTGTGAGGAATCAGCATTGCTAATGATTGGACGGGATGATTTGTATCTGATATTCTATTTATCTCTGCTGATAAGAGCTCTGTACTCATAGGAAGTAATGGTGAGATCCCCCGACACTGAATAGTGGATGGTTATGTCAGATGAAAGAAATTTGTATGAGGCTCTGATTGGTCATTGCAGTAAGATCAGATCCCCCGTGTACGACTTCCTATTCTATATTAATAGATATTAAGTTTTTGTTTTTTTTAACCATTTGCTGACCAGGTGTTTACACCCCCTTCCTGGCCAGGCCATTTTTCAGTATTCAGCGCTGCGGTACTTTGACTGACATTTATTCCGTCATGCAACACTGTACTGAAATTCATTTTATACATTTTTTTGGGGACAGATAGAGCTTTCTTTTGGTGGTATTTAATCACCACTGGGGATTTTTTTTTTTTTTTACTATATTAAGGAAAAACTACTGAAAATGTTTTTTTTTTACATTATGTTAGGAAACAATTATTATTACCCATTTTTTGGTAAAATATAAAAGACGGGGTCACGTCGGTAATATAGACACCAAACATGTCAAGCTTTAAAATTGCACGCACCAGCAAAATCGCAGAAAACTACCATACCCAAAATTGGCCATAGGCGACACTTTAAAAGCTTTTACCGCTCATCAGTTTAGTGTTATCAGTGATTGATGGCCCTAGACTTACTGCTCTCATTGATGGCCCTCAATTACTGCTTGTCATTTTTGCACGTATGCGTACCCGACGCATGTTTTCACGCGTGTATATATGGGTGGGGACTTAAAACAAATTTGATGGGTTTCTATTCTTTTTCGTGTGTGACTTTAATTTTTTTTCCTATTTTTTTTTCACTTAATGTTATCACATAGGGGGCTAAGAAACCCTCTATGTGATAGCAGAGATATGTGACAGGTCCTCTTTATGGAGACATCAGGGGTCTCCAAGACCCCTAATGTTACCTAGGACCCCCAAAGAAACTGATGAAGCAGAGATCTGCTTCAGCAGCTTCTCTCCAGCTTCTGAAGCTGGGGAGTGACACAAGAATGCGGGAGTGATACCGGATTCTGATACCGGAGAGGGAATAGGAGGGAGTTCGTGTACCGAACTCCATCTGATCCCCCTGTCACAGAGCCACCATGCTGGTCCAGGGCTTGCACCGGGCACAGCAGAGCTCGGAGCCAGCGGAGGGGGGGCTGCGGGCGGGGAGGGCGCACGATCGGCACGTTATACAAGCGATCCATCGGCTGTATAGTCGGCTGATCGCTTGCATGTAAACAGGCATCACTGCCTGTTTTTAAATTTGGGTAGTTTCCGACTTGCACAAGTGGGCGGGGCCAACAGGCCATCTTTAGATGGCCAGTCAAATCCAGGAAGCTCCCAGCCAGCCATTTGCTTAAAACGGCCGGACAGGAGGCGGTTGAAGTCCATTTTATAGCTGATAACAGAGTATGATAAGATTCTAAGATTTAGAGAGCAGTCTGGAATTGGCTACATTTGATAGTAAATGGTAATGAATATCTCCTGAATTTATTTAATTATTAAAAGGAAACCCAAAAATAAAGTAAGGGAAAAAACAAAACTTAAGTTGTATATTTTTGGCTATCACCATGACCCATCAACAAAACCCCTAAATAAATTCTCCTCTCCTGACATTCACAGCGATACCACATATGAGAGCGTTATTTGTTATTTCTACTCATAGTAGGGCCCAAAAACTATAATGAGAATTTTGATTTTATTTACACTACCTAAGACACACTAACACCAAGGCCGAATCTAGGAGGGGTGGGAGGGCATGTGCCCCGGGTGCTGTGATCGGGCATCACTGGGTGTGTGGATGGAGAACTTCTCCTTTGGGGGAGAAACTCTGAGCCTTTGCGCTGGGTGACAAAATGTCTAGCTTGCCCACTGACTAAGATTAATTTCTGATCTAAATATTTTAGCTTTAATTTTTATCTATTTATCTTATGCCATCTTTTCTGTATCTAAATTCTTCTCCTCTTCTGAGCAGAAAGATTATGGGGGGTGCTATATCTAGTTATCACTGTGATAGCCAATCACAGGCTATTACAGTGATCATGTGATCCGGAGCTCATCCTCCCTTCTCCTGATCATTAGTACAAGAGCCTGTGCTGTTAGTGAGAGCTCTGTCTCTGGTTCGGGGATGCCCCTATGGAGCATGCTTGCAGCACATATACACTGAGTGGCCAGATTATTATGACCACCCCATCAGTACTTAGTTGGGCCACCTTTTGCCTTCAATACTGCGGCGATTCTTCTTGGCATTGACTCCACGAGATGTTGAAAGGTGATGCGAGGAATCTGACACCATGCTTGATGAATAGCACTGTCCAGTTCTGTGAGATTTGATGGTTATATGGATATACAGTATGCTGCCCCATGTAGGGTTCACTTTAATGAGGCCACATATATGCATATCTGGTAACTCTCCGGAAATGACTGGGCAAGGCCAGACTTTTAAACTGGCTCCCAGGTCATTTCTGAAATTAGGCAATCCTCCAGGCTGCTGGTCTGCTACAGCAGCATGGAGTCACACACAAACTGCACTTTCCACTGATTGGTTTTCTGGAGGGAGGTAAGGGATGGGATGCTATGTAGGATTAGAAAATGGAGGTGGGTAATGGCTGAAGGAATCTTGGATAGCAGCCACCGGTGACCTTTCCTGATCAGGTGAGTGGAGTTACTGCCAGCAGCAAGATAAGGGACACTTTTTGTAGCCCAGGCAGTGGTCCCAGAGGGCAAGTGGAGGGTCTGGGCTGCACAGCAAGGGACCAAGATTAATGAGTCCTTTACAAGGTGCAATTTAAATACACTAAAATGTCAGTAACACTGACAACGTACCTAGGTACTACCTAAAGGTGGTATTGTTATTGGCACCTGGGTGGGGGATATAGGTGGGAGTCACATATCCACCATTCCAGCGAGACTGGCAGTGCCTATAGATGGCAGTCAGGAGCGCTGTCAGTGTCTCTGGAAAGGTGTGTGCACTTAGGTGCTGCAACCTACAGGCACCGTCAGTCTCACTGGAATGATGGATAGGTGAAAGTCACGTGTACTTTCCAAAGACACGGACAGTGCACCTAGCTGCCACCTACAGACACTGTTAGTGTAATTGAAATGGCAGATAGCTGGGAGCCACATGCACTGGAATAGTGTACACACAGTGCAACTGGATCCCACTTATCCACCATTGTGTAGGCTCTGGACCTATTTTTAAGCCCCTCCCACTATAAAAATGACATACCCACCATAGCTCTGCCCTTCACCTCATCAACCAAACCACAGTATCAGGAATTACAATTTCTAAAAGTTCCTAGGTAAGTATATGCTTATTAGGAAGGGGTTAACTGTCCCAGAATATTATTGTCTCGGTCAGTCCTGTTATACTCACTCTAATTCCTCTATCCGGCTTGTTGTCAGAACTTCCATCACATCCCTGAAATGAGGACCCTCCAGATTATTCCCGGACAGGTCCAGTGTCCTCAGTGTCCGGTTATTTCTTATTCCAGATGCTAGGTCGGGGCAGGAAATGTCTGTCAGATGATTATTAGACAATCTGTAGAAGAAGAGAAGAATGTTACCAGAAGAAAATTAATTTCTCCCCCAGGAATGAATGTAACTATTCTCTACATCAGGGACATCACCAGCCCTCTCTGTTGGCTGTCTCTTCTCTGCTCTCTGCTCTCTTCTTTTAGATCCAGTGATATAATCACTGGGCCTCTGTACTTCTCTATGCAATGTAGGCAGATCATGGGTGTACATAGCTTTCTAAAAACATCATAGCAACCTGTCTCAGTACACTCCTGAAGAACCTCTTGGGAGGAATAATGCAAATGTAAAAATTCAATGAGAAGCTCACAGTGTGCAGTGAAATCAGAGTAAGCAATGTCAGTTCGTAAGTGGAGCCACTACAACTGTGCAAGACTGAAGGGAAGGCCAGAATTCAGCTTTAATGGCATCTTCCTCTTTTAATTTCACTCATTCTTAGCCACCACTAGAGGGAATGGGAGATGGACTGCATATTCAGGCAAATTCAGAACCACACTCCAAACTCCCAAGTGTACCATCTAATGGTGTCCTGTCATTGTCTCCTCTTCTTATCTGATCATTCAGCGACCTCACCAATAAATGGAAGGAGAATTTCCTCCGGGGGTCACACATAAGAGGGAAGATATAGGCCGTGCTAGGCTCTTGTAGCTCTGTAAGGTCTGAGACCCCACAGACGCTGGACCAATACTATCACTGCTACGTGTCTGACAGACATCCCAGAGATCCCATTCTGCTGCCTCTACTCATCTGTTCATTCTATGCAGTCATCCAATGTGATCACATCAATACATATAAAGTTCTCATATAATAGAAGACAAGTAACACCAATAATTAGTCATTTCTCTGGGAGATTGCTGATCATTCCAGTTTAACACAGAAATGTGACTATTCATAGTTATTCTTTACCTCAAACTCTTGATGTTGTGAAGAGCCGGTACAAGTTTCCTCATTCCTTCACTCTGAATCTTACAAAAATTTATATTTACTTCTTCTGTCTCTCTGCAGGATTGAAGCATAAAAGACAGCACAGAGCAGTCCAGAGGGCTGAGGGAGACATCAGAAAAGTCAACTTTGTTTGATCCAACACATTGTGACACCAGAGC